ACCTGTTTCGTTAAAGACCGTTTTAAACTAAAGATAGTAGTGGGGGGGGGGTGTACAATTTTATGTCACACGCATCTATACAAAGCATTATTTGACCGCTAAATAAATTGGAAAGTCATTTAAAATTGCCTGGTCCAAGTATTTAATGGTCACTTGGAGACAACATGCACTTAGAGCATATATACACAACTACTCTAAGTAAGATTACCTGTTCATATGTGCTGGGCCATAGCCTCCAATAGCATACACCATCCCATCTAGGACAGCGGTGGCAAAGCAGCTGCGAGACTTCGTCATGGGTGCCACAGGCTGCCACTCCTTCAGCTTCGAGACATACTTCTCCACAGACTGGAGGTAATACTGGCCGTCATAGCCTCCCAGGGCATACAGCTCTCCGGCCAGGACCACTACACCGAGAGTGCTGCGACACTCTGCCATACGCTCCACTGAAGACCACGTGTTGGTTTCGGGGTCCCAGCTTTCGACTGTGCTCTCGTGCCTCCGATAGCTAATGCCCTGCCTCATATGTGTGGCGATGCCTCCCACAACATAAACTTTGTGGTCCAGCACCGCCACTCCAAATTCATATCTGGGTACACTGAGAGGGGCCAGTCCTATCCATGAATCCGTCTGAGGGAAATACATTTCCGTGCTGAAAGACAAGGAAAAAACAAAACACTAAGACACTTTAAAAAAAAAAAATTTAAGTTTAGAAAGTTGCTTTTATACAAATGCATCCAATTGTAATCTACAAGTCACTAGCATTACCTTTCCAATGTGGCAAACAGTCCAGCCTTGCCTCCTACTGCAAGCAGCACCTTTGGGGCACACCTGGGTCGTGCAGACAACACAGTCTGATAGGACAGCCGGTGTTCAGGCATAAAGTGATATTTGAGGGCCTCATTGAGCAGATGCTTGCAGGCGTGGTCATCTCGTATAAGATGGTTGGCTTCATATAGGCGAGTGAGGAATTTGACGCTGAGCAGCGGAAGGCGAACACAGTGCAGCAGTTGAGCCAGATGCTGCTGTCTCTCAGTTACATCATATTTGATCCATGATTCGAGGGCATAAAATACAGTCTCCTCTGTGACTACCTTAAGGCAATCATTGGACACAATTTCATCCAACTCGGCTCTCGTCAGTTCAAAAAACTCCTCCGTTTGACAGACTTCCTCAAAGTTCTCACAGATGAACTTCGTTGCGGCCAAGCACAGGTCATGACAGCCGTAAGTCTCTGCAAAGCGGGAAATGCCTATACAGTTTCCAGCGTCCAGCTGGCTCTCTAAGAAGGAACAACACTCCTTAAGTACAAGCTTAACCTGGAGTAAGTTGGCAGCGGGTAGCAAAGATTCCACTGTCTCCTGGGAGATAAACACCGTCCCGGTATAAGCATACTCCACTATAGCCTAGAAGCAAAGACAGCACAAGTGTTACAATAAACATGCTACAGCAGTTAATCACTGTGGCTAGCAAGTGTTGGATAGAAGCATACCTGCAAGGCAGCTTCATCAATGCACTGGAACTCCACCTCAGAGGTCTCCTTTTCTGACAGGTTACCCGTAAACATGGCCTTGAAATAAGGACTGATGCTGGCCAGCACTACTTTGTGGGCATGGATCTTGGCATCACCCACACGCAGCACAATGTCACATAGTTCGTGATCCTGCCGCAAGAGCTGGAGGCCTTGCAGCAGCTCCTCTGAGTGAGGCCATGTCAGACTTGCAAACATATAGGACTGGTCCTGCTGGTCCATCTGAGAGCAGCAAATCACAGATCAGTGTAATGTTTTGAGAAGAGTCATAAAGTCAGTGATGTTTTCCAAAGATAGGCCGGTCAGCTAATAGAAGTCCTGGACGTTATCCAAGTGCCATACGGCTCTGACACTACAAGCCTGAAAAGTCACACTTTCTGGCTTGGGTAACGTGACGTAATAACAGCACGCGTTAAGTAAACACGCCTGGGCAGTATGATGCAGTCAGACATTATTTCCCCCGAACCAAGTATTGCATTAGTTGTTCTAACCAGTTTTGTTAGCAGATTACTGCGAGTTAAGCTAAATATGCATGGTCTTTATTAAGAAACAACGCAGCGTAAAGTCATCTACACGTATTAGCTAAAAACAACACACATTCTAGATTGCCCTAAAACCAGGAGGCTAAATGTGAGCACTCTGTATCCAAGCTTTGGCACAACGAGTCACAACAACACATCGGTTTGTTAACTGGGGCCTTGATTTCTGAACGCAGGACTTGGCCAGATTAAAAATCGCTAGCTACCTCTTAGCTTAAAATAAGCACACAGCTAATACGGTAGCCAGTACTGTAAAGCTCACCAGCAGCTTAGCAGTTTGCATAAACACATTTGCACGAACATCACACGCACAACGCTCATGTGTGCACTGTACTGTCAGTATATTATTTTTCCACGCCAACAAATACAGAGAGCTGATATTGCCGTTTCCCTGCGCTGCAGTCACCGCAGGTTAGCTGCTAAAAATAAACACGGTTCCTGTGGCTAGCTGTATCATTGATTGATATACAGTAACATGGCTGACAGATACAAAACGTGACGTTGTAGCCAGGATTTAGATAACATTTAGCATCGTCAGATTAAGAAAAGCAAACCTGTAGTTTACAGCCCGTCTGGCGTGCCGCTGTAATGACCGATTTTGCAGTGGCGACGACAGCGAAGCCCGGGCGGCTATCAAGAAAACAACCTG